TGTCTTGAAGACTTCTTTGCCTTAAGACTCAGGGCAGAATCCCTCAAATCAGTTGTTGCTTCTATCTCTAGAGATGTTCTCCTTTGCAGGCTGAAAACCATTCCAACTACTTCCAATTCTTCTTCTTCTTTTCTTTCTTTTTTTTTTTTTTTTTTTGGTATTTTCAATCTCTTTCAACAACTAGAAAGCAAAGGTTTAAGTGCTAAGCAATCATTCCTTCTTTAAACATGTTACAGCTGAGATCAATGCTAACTTGCGCTTATAAAAAACATCTACAGCAGTAAACACACAAGCTCCCTTGGAAGATAAAATTGCATACCAGTATGAGGGTGGATGGGCAGGCTGAATTTTATCTTCTGCTCTCTTTCTTCAAATGGCAGTCACCTGCCTGGAGTGGAATCAATTTGAGAGATGCCACAAGGTATAGAAATCAAACAGATATTAAAGGAATGCTGATCATTTTTCTCTTTGCATTTCTTTTGCTGGAGAGCTCAATGTCAATACATTTTACTGCTTTGGAATGTATTCTTAAGTACCTATGGAGGTTCAACCCTCATACACTGAAAAAGAGTAGTTTACTATTTTTTTTGCACCCATGTGTGGTCTGATAACCCCTAGAGCTGAAATGGAATACAGAAGAAAGTACTGATTTTAACCCTATTTCACAAATAAAATTGTGCTGTTAGAGAAGGGAAATGGTCAAAATTAGCCTATATTCAGACTTTCTTTGCATTAAGAAATAAGCCACAACCATACCTGTGTTCATGTGCCCTTATCTGTCAGTGACCTAAAACAGATTAAACAAGACTTAAAAAGTCTTTGGATGACCCTGATAAATGCACTGAAGTCTTTAGAAGAATTACTCAGAGCTATAAACTAGAGCAAAAAATATAATATTATGCTTAAATCAAACACTGATTTCTAATGGGAAATAATGGGTACAGACTTTAATCTGTGAGCCTCTTTAAGTATATTACAGATCCCTGGGGATACATATTTTCAGAATAGGTTTAAATACAGCCTAGTCAGCACTGATGTGGAGAGATGTTACCTAGGCTGACTAGAGAGAGAACCCAAAATATCCCAAAGACCTCTCTGCCCTAGGACAAAGATTTCTTTGTCTCGCTCTTTAGAGGTTAGAGATCGCTTTCGCAGGCTGCGATTTTAGAACTTTTGATTCTGTCATTTATCAGAAAATAAGCCCTAAACAATATAGTCAAAATATTGCCCTTTGGGGCTGTGGATTTAGCCCAGTGACAAAAGTGCCTGCCTGGTAAGCATGAGGTTGTGAGTTTGATTCCTGGAACCCCCCCCACCCGTCCCCCACCAAAAAAAACACTTCTCTTTTTCCCTCTATGTTTCAAAAAGTTAAAAAAAAAAACAAAAACCACACTGTTCAGGGTCTTTGATTACTGGCTTAATTTTCTGCTTGGCAACGCAACTGGAGGCAGTCACAGGTTTTGTCTCTGGGGAGGTATGTTACTCAGGTTTGGAGATGCGCCCTGGGCAAATTCTTGATCTTAATCGTCTTTCTGTACCTGAGATGGACGGGATTTACTTCTTGTGCCATACTTGGGGTCACTCTTCTGTCCCTTCTCTACTACCCTGCCCCTGAGAAATAACTCAGCTTGCAACCGTATTTCGGTTAAGGCAGTTCTCTCTTTTGTGGCTGCTGGATTTCAGGACCAAGTTTCCAGAATGGTGAGTTTCCCTCTTCCTGAGTAAAACTGACCTTCACTTATCTTAGGGTCATATTAAAGAATTAATAATCCTACAAATCTCAAAAATAAATAGAAAAGTTTTAGTTCAAGTTTATCTGCCTTTTCAGTCCTTAGAACTAGGACTAGTTCTCTTGCCTCTGCCCTCAAAAATGATGCTGACTGGTTTTTATAACATAGGTAAGTTCATTGATAAGATAAACACTTTTAGGGAAACTTACAAGTTTAATGACAGTTCTGAACAAAAACAAATATTAAAATATAGGCACAGCCTTGACAAGGCCTTCTTTCTCTCTCCTGTTTAACAGGTGGCATTAAAAAATGTAATTATATCTTTAAAATAAAAAAGAAATCATAAAATAAGTTGAAGTTATTACCTTTGGGACAGGAAGGCAGTAGAGGGGACGGTAAGAATTTCAAAACAAAGGAAAGAGCTATACAACCAAAAGCCTGCAGAGGCTGGCAGTGTAGCTCAGTGGTAGAGCACACACTTAGCAAGCATGAGGCCCTACACTCGGTCTCCAGCACCAAAAAAGAAAAGAGGGGAAAGAGTTAGAAGCAGTTAAATTAAACCCGGAACCCCTAAATTTGAATTGGAAGTTTCAGTATAAGCACATGATATATTTTATTTAAAAAACAAAACAAGACAGAAAAAAAAGGCCAACCAACCAAATCATCTTACCCAAATCTGTCCATTAAACATTTAATATAAATTCATTTATACCACCACAGACCTTCACACTGTGCTCTTTACTGTTTCCTGCCAAAAGAAACAGCACTGTGATGTTACTTATGATATAATTTTTATGCTTCTCCAGAATTTAATGATTTTTTTGTGTGATATTCTTTTCCAATACAAAGCAGACCTATTTGGGACAGTGAGACTGAATAGGGAGGATGAACTAGAAGAACTGCAAAAGAAAAAAACTGATAGGGGCTGGAGATTTAGCTCAGTGGCATAAGTGCCTGCCTTGCAAGCAGGCAGTTGTGAGTTCGATTCCCGGTACCAATAAAAAGGAAAAAGACAAAAAAAACCTGAAAAAGACAGAAATGTTAGCATATCAGAGAGGAGAAGTCTGTGTTATGAAATGGAGAGACAAAAAGACATTTTCTTCTGTCAATTATTCATAATATAGAAATAGTAGAACTTGAAAGAAGAAATGAAATTTTTAAAAATTTCATTACTTATTGACTAGTTACCTTTTTCTAACTAATATGTAACACCAATGTCATATAGTAAATTCTTCTATACTTGTACGTGGGTCTCTTTTCTCTTTTTGAAGGCAACTTTTAAATTTTTCCTTCAATAATGCAGGCCTGTCTCACCATGGCTTTATTATAATAACTTATTTTATAGGGCAAGTCTTTTCAATCCTAGTTCTCTTCAATATTGTCTTATATACTGTATTTTTTTTCTATGTAAATAGGAAAGATGTAACAGGTGTAGCAGTCCATACCTACAATCCCAGCACTCTGAGAAGCTAATGCAGGATTACAATTCTGAGGCCAGTCTGGGTAACTCAGTGGCACCCTGTCACAAAACAAAACAACAACAACAAAAATTAAAAATGAGGAAAGGATGGAGCTCAGTAGTACTATAATTTCTTAGTATGTGGAAAGCCCTGGATTCAAATCCCCAGTACTGTAAGAAAGAGAAAAACAAAAAACAAACAAACCCAGCTACTCTACATTGTCAGTATGAAAAGAAATTAACTGAATTGGCTGCTGGTGGTGGTGCAGGCCTATAATCCTAGCACTGGGGAGGCTGAGACAGGAAGATAGTAGCAAGTTTAAAACCAGCCTGGGCTACAAAGAGAACTCAAGGCCAGCCTGAACTGCATAGCCAGACAATGTCTCAAAAACACCAAAAGATAAAAGATTAAAAAAAAAAACACTGAATAAATGAGCAGCTGAGTAAATGCTAACACTAGTTAGCATGTACAAAAAGCAATAAAGTACTGTTTATTATACCTCAGTCATATTCTTTTTAGGGAGGCCTTTCAGTTTTTGATATGCAAATTTTCTCTTATACTGAATTATATTCATTATTTTACTTTTCTTGGTCAGGACAAAACTGAAAAAAAATCTTGAATTCACAATGAACAATTCTTGCTGTATATGTTTTCCCACATATATTAGGAATGTTCTGTAACTTTCCGAGAAACCGTAACTTGAATTAAATACTGAACTGTTACAGCGATTCATGTGCATTTTGGGAAGTTTTTAGTCATTGGGAACCATGGCATTTCTTTTTTCTGTATCACAAACTGTTAAATACTTTCTTTTTACTATAAACATTGGGACAGAAGACCTCCTGTTCTACAACTGACTGGCAGGCAGAAATGACAGGGCCGGAAATGGGAAATGGTTCAGGGTCCTGGAATTCCCCTGACTGCCTAATCAAGTAGCTTATTTGTAAATTTTTGAAATGTTTGCACCCTGGAGTTCCCCAGCGAAGAACGCATCTGATTTCACTGACAACAATTGTCTTCCACAGAAAGTAAATTAAATATGCAAAAAAGCCATCCGCTACAACAAATACTGAATTCCACTGTGGTCACATGACTAGAGAGGTGGCAAGCCAAAAGCTTTAGCAGCAGTAAAACCAAGGATTTTTATTTACAGTTTTTGTATCAGTTAACTAGATTTTCGATAGGCTCCTCTGTGGCTCATATATGATTACGTGTGCGTGCATATACATATTTTATTCAAATATTCAAAGTATTTTAAGAGTGAAGCCTGGTTGCTACTTATGAACGTAATTACAATAGTCACTTTTAAAAATCAAGTGTCTCAGCCGGGCTTGGTGGCTCACACCTGTAAGCCCAGCACTTGGGAGGCAGAGGTGGGAGGATCGCTGAGAGTTCAAGACCAGCCTGGGCTACAAAGTGAGCTCAAAGCCAGCCTGAACTTCATAGCGACACCCCGTCTCAAAAAAGGCAAAAAAAAAAAAAAAAAAGTGTCTCCAGGACAAAAAGCCAAAGTTTAAAAATAAAATGTACACTGGTTGATTATGAAACACATCAGTCTTCAAAACTAACTGAAGCTCCTTCACAATGCTCTGCTTTTTTTCAATTTATCTAGCTAGCTTCTCAATATTGGAGCGCTGAAGGAAAAATGGTTCCAATTACTTTACTGATGCAAGACAATGCCAGCAGCGCGACTCTGTCGCACGCGGGCACCTCCGGCCCGCGCCGGGTGGCTCTCCGCGGTTGCGGGAAGCGCGTCACGCGCGCCTCGGCCTCGGGCACCTCTGCAGCGCGGCCAGACTACAACGCAAGGCTTCGCGGGGTGCCACGCTCCCTTCGGGACAACGCTAGGGACACGGGGAGAAGGCCACGGGAAATGCGCACTGCACGGCTGCGCCCCAAACATCTAGTCGCCGCGGACGGCGCCTTGCCTCCGGAGCCGACAGCTCAGCCTCGGGGGGTGGGGGTGGTGGCCACTCAGCGCTGGGATCCCGTGGGACCCCAGACTCAGCCCACGACTCCAGGTCTCGCCAACGCAATGCGCGTGCGCGACGCCGCAGACTCCCGAGCGCCCTCGCGCGGCGGCTGCTGTGAGCCTCGCGACCGGGCGTGCTGACATCACGGACGTCGGCGTCGGCCCCTCTCGGGTCGGGCGTTTTGGGAACGCCTAGGGCGAAGGGGAGCCGGTTGGGTCCTTGTTGGGCTTTGGGGAGGCGTCGCCGCTCTGCTGGTGTGCAGAGGCCTGCAAGAGCTGCCCGGGCTGCCCTCTTCTTGCGTTCTCTGCGCCGGTGCTGTGGTGAGTGCAGCTCCCTCCGTGCCTGGGCCGGGGCTCGCAGACCAGCGGGGGTCGGTTTCCTTGAAGCCGTTTGCCGGGCGGGGGAACTCGGCCTTGGGGTTCGGCCGAGCCTCAGGGCTCTCCGCTTGCTACGCTCGTCCAGGGTTTGCTTTGGTTCGGAAACCATGATTCCAGGGTTGGCTTCCACAAGGGAGGGTTTTTTTTTTTTAACGACTTGTTTTGAAACCTAGTGCGGCCACCGCCCACTTTTCCAGCCTTTGGATTTTGACCAAAATACCAAGTTGGTTTTTTTTTTGTTGTTGTTGTTGTTTTTGTTTTTTGGCAACGCTTTGTATTTACTCTTCAGTGTTCCTTTTTAATATCTTGACAGTTGAATGGCGGCGAGATGACATATGTCAATGCGCTATTGTACTTCAGTAGTATATAAGAAAAATCCGGGAAATTATTGGTGAATCCCATAGTTTCTTTTGTTTTCCCTTCCAGTTTGTTTCCGTCCACCCCTTTCTTCAGCTAGTTTGTCTAAAAGGAACAGGATGGGTAGGATCTCTGCGGGTGAAAATGCGTAAAGATGCATGATGCCTAAGTAACGAAGGCATTCTTGAGACTGTATTGCCAGTGTTTTATGGACCGTTGTATTTTTATTTTCGAATTGCTTTCTGTGGTGGTTTTAGAATTGTGAGGGAATGAGAACCTTTAAAGGTTTACGTTAGTTGAGTATTTCCTTTTTACTAGTCAGATCTGGAGAGACTTGACTTTACAGAGTACCGTTCTCACCCAGTTACTGCTATGCTGTAGCCCTAGGGGTGCAGTCGAATTTTCAAATCAGAAAAGGGAGGAGACCAAGGAAATGTCTATCGGACTTTAAAGTTGTGTGTTAAAGACATGCATAGTTAGTGCTATTGGGAGTATATTATATGTCTTTATTTTAATGAGGAGCTTTTCCAGTTAGAGAGTTTTGGTGACAAGTTGCTGGAATTCAGAGATATTATCTGAAGGTTCTATCATTTTTGACTTTATTGAATAAATTGAGTCTGTAAATGTTATTTACCATGCCAGTTATAGTTTTCTAGAATAACTTGTTTTTTTTTTTTCAGATTACAGCTTTGAAGAGTCTGTCTCCCATTTTCTCCCCTGCGGAAATAAATCCCATCGTGGAGACCCTAAAACTTTCTAGAGGGATATAGTTTGACTATAATTTTGTTTCCAGAACTAAGCTTAGTAAATTACTGGTACATTATTGCATATGCAGTAGCTTTATTATATTTTGTTAGACTTTAGTGATAACAGGAAAATATGTCCTTTGATAAGTTGATCCTGAATTACGACATGACAAATATAATTGAATGGTCCTTAAATGAGTAGGTTATTTAATTTTTAAAATGCAGTTAAAGTGTGTGCTGTGGAAATTTTATGGTTTGCTAGTTAAGTTTATGGAGAAAATGCCTTAGTTGACCCGGTATAAACGATATGCACAAGTAAAAAAGACAATAGAATGATACTTTGGGAAGTGGAAACAAATGTAGATAATTTTAGACAAAGAAGATTTTATAGTTTGAAGTACTAAGCAAAATTCACTTGATATTACATAGATTCAGTAAAGCTTGTGAGTACTGACTCCCCCAGAAGTTACTAACTGAAGCTAAGCTAACTTAGTTAAGTAAATACTTTAATGATAAGCAATGTGGAATTAGACTTTAGATGGTATAAGCAATGACTCTGTTTGCTAGAATAAAATGAGATTAACTTGGATGTCATAATGTGCTTTTAAAGGGAAAAGAATCCTGCATTATAACCTTATTTTGTTGGTATAACCAGTAATTGGCCTTATATCCGGCCTTCATACCTTATAACCAAAAGCACATTAAAGGCATAAGTTAAGTATTCTGTTTATAGTTGCTTAAAATTCTAAGAATATAAAGTTTTTGAAAAATCAAAGTGTTTTAATACAGTTAGAAGTGTATACAATTTTTCAGGTCTTTAGTTATTATACCAAATTATGAGCAAATAGCAGTTAAGTTACCTAAAAGAGTTAATGTAATAATCCCAAAGACTACTAAGTAGTATCTTGGTAATTTAGGAGAGTCATCAAACCTGAGTGTACACTCAGATCTAAACCCAGTAAAGAAGTTGTAGTGAATTCTGCATAAGTAGGACTCTGTTATTTGATCCCTTTTTGTGGTAAAAATCTAAAGAGAAATTTTATGTGAAAGTTTTAGCCGTAAGAAGTACTGTCACCCACTCATGCATAAAACTACCTCCCAAAGATTTGTTCAAAGTCCCACATATAGAAAAATTGAAAATATAATGGAAGAGAGCACAGTCTTGCCAAATCGGACGAATGACAACAAACAAAAAATGAAGTACGACTTCTCATGTGAACTGTACCGCATGTCCACATACTCAGCTTTTCCCAGCGGTGTCCCCGTCTCAGAGAGGAGTCTTGCTCGTGCTGGTTTCTATTACACCGGTGTGAAAGACAAGGTCAAATGCTTCTGTTGTGGCCTGATGCTGGATAACTGGAAACAAGGAGACAATCCGATTGAAAAGCATAAACAGCTATATCCTAGCTGTAGCTTTATTCAGAATCTGATTTCAGCTAACCTTCAGTCTATCTCTAAGAATTACTCTGCAGTGAGAAACAGTTCTACACATTCAGTATCTCCTGCTTTGGAACATTGTGGTTCATTCAGTGGTTTTTGTTCCAGCCTTTCACCAGACCCTCTTAACTCCAGAGCAATTGAAGACTTCTCTCCAACGAGGACTAACTCCTACAGTTATGCCATGAGTACTGAAGAAGCCAGATTTCTTACTTACAAAATGTGGCCATTAACCTTTTTGTCACCACTAGACTTGGCAAGAGCTGGCTTTTATTATATAGGACCTGGAGATAGAGTGGCCTGCTTTGCATGCGGTGGAAAACTAAGTAACTGGGAGCCAAAGGATGATGCCATGTCAGAACACCGGAGACATTTCCCCACCTGCCCATTTCTGGAAAATTCTCTGGAAACACTGAGGTTTAGTATTTCAAATCTAAGCATGCAGACACATGCAGCTAGAATGAGAACATTCGTGTATTGGCCATCTACGGTTCCAATTCAGCCTGAGCAGCTTGCAAGTGCCGGTTTTTATTATGTTGGTAAGAAACTAATAAACAGCTGTACATTTTATCTAGTTCATTCTGATTATTGGAACATGTGTTAGTTTTTTGTCTTTGTTTTCCCTTCAGGTCGCAATGATGATGTCAAATGCTTTTGCTGTGATGGTGGCTTGAGGTGTTGGGAATCTGGAGATGACCCTTGGGTAGAGCATGCCAAGTGGTTTCCAAGGTAATTGGTGTTTTGTTTTTCTGTTTGTTTGGGATTTTTTTGGTGCTGGGGATTGAACTCAGGGCCTTCCACATACTAGGCACATGCTCTGCCACTGAACTCTACTCTGATCCCATCCAAGGAAATTGTTCTGACAAAATATTACTGTTCAAAACTCTACACATAAGAGAAATATATATGCTCACATGATTAAGTCAGATTTTAAATTACGTGTAACAGCCTGTCATATCGTTGCTAAATTAGTCTTTCAAAAGACCAATTTTTCATTAAGATGTTCTGCAATCTTCTGCATACTTCTTTTGTAAGCCATGCAGTTGGTATATAATTTAAAATTCTTGTGGACACGTTTATGAGTAAGACCATTTCTTTCTTCACAGAGGACTTAAGGATTGCAAATATTGTAAAACAGAAAGGAAAGAACATAAATTGGAAAAAAGATAAAAGAAGAAAACAAGAAGGAATATAAACAAATCTGGGTGTAGTGGTGCAGGCCTTGTTGGCAAAGTATTTGGGAGACCGAGGCAGGCAGGTTGCTATGAGTTCAGGCCAGCCTAAACTGCATAGTGAGACTTTTATCTCAAACAGGACTAAACCAAACCAAACATATATATAAAACAGGTATAGAAATAAGGCAGATATAAAAATGCATAGAATAAAATCTTAGCTGACTCTGTTACCATTATACATTACCTTTTCTGTGTTTTATCTTGTGATAAGTAACTTATAGCCACAGTGCCTCTAGCAGTTTCTCTCTTTTCTGAAAAAAATTTTTTTTGCAGTTTTTATAGTGAAACCCAAATCCATTTTTGTACTAGGCTACACTCTACTAGTGAGCTACAGTCTAACCTATCTATCTGGTTTTTTGCTGCTGAGGATTGAATCCAGTAGTAGTCCACCACTGGGATGCAACCCCACCCTTTTGGAAAATTTTTGATACAGCATCTCCCTAAGACGCTTGAGCTGGTCTTAACCCTTTCTGAACTGGGCCAGTAATTCATGTCTGACTGCCAGGTGACTTGAACCACTGGTGGTACATGCATGACTGTCCCATTGAGCAGTTTTGTATTAGTTTTATTAATTAAAAAACTGATAAAAGTTGCTCCACTAGTGGTACAAGCCATTCTGGGATTGTCATGTTTGCTCCACTGGTAGCTCAGACCCGCAGGAATGTGTTAAACTTGAGATCCTCTCGCATCAGGCTTCTGAGCAGCTTGGGACTGCAGGCACGAGAAGTAAGTTAGAGGCAGTGTTGTTAGTGGAGTAGAATTACAAATTCTGTCTTTGTGATCAAGTAGCTAAGTGAATTTGAACTTCATTTGTAAAATGAAGAGGTAGGGTTAGGTATTTTCATTTCATTGATAAAATATATATAACATGAAACTTACCATTTTGTGTGTATATTTCTGTAGTAAAGTGTATATTCATACTGTTCTGCAGTCATCACCACTGTCATCTACAGAACCTTTTTATCAAACTGAAACTGTAACCATTACACGCTAACTCTCCATTACCCCTCCAGAGAGTCACTGTTCTACTTTCTGTCTTAGGAGTTTAACTGCTTCAGAGAACACAGACAAGTGGAATTATACAATATGGTATTTCGATGTGTGAATATCACCAAAGATTCCTCAGAATCTTTGGAATCTTTTCATGAAATTAAAAAATCCTTTTGTCGCTTTTGTCTGATTTATGATGAGAAATAAATTTGAAGTAACATTTTATTGTTGATTAATACATTTTAAAATTATATCACTAATGTGCATAATATTTAAAGCAATTTGGATTTTTTTTACTTTGAAAAGTAATGTACATTTAGAATTAATTATATAAGAAAAAGCATGTTGTTAGAATTTCAGATGACTTAATTATGTTTGGCCTACGGAAATTTTTCTTTTTTGAGATGAGATCTCTGTGTTTCCCAGAATGATCTTGAGTTTGTGCGTCTAAGTAACCCTCAGCTCCCCAAGTAGCTGGGACTACAGGTCTATTGTGTGCCACAGTGCCTGGGTTTATGTGTATAATTTGAAATTTTCTTGGTGTTGTAAAGACAAAAATCGCTTCCAAATTCTGATATATGGATTGCTATATTTTGTGGTTTATAAAACAGAATTCTTATTTTTGTAGTTTATATTTTGTTTTAAATAGTTCTAAAGATTTAGGAGTGCTTTTAGGAGTGTCTTCTCTGAAGACAATAAGATTTCAGTTGTAAATAATCTCTAATTTCAGTAAATAAAAAAATGTATAGTCATTATCCCTATTTTAGCACAATTTATTCATTTATTAAATATTTGGGTGCCTACTTGTTAATACTGTTTTAGGTGCTGGGGATACAGCAGTGCACAAGATAGAAATCTGTCTTCTTGAGATTTATTGGAGCAGAGGAATAGATGGAGCAACTAGAATTTGTTATACCTCACATCTTTAATGATTATGAATATAAATCTGTCAAAAGTAAAAGAAAACAATATTAAAATCAGACATGCAGAGATTAAATGTAGCTTTGTCATTTGAGTGATCATCTTGAGCATGTATATCTTTATATGTACATGTTCTATATATATTTACTATATTTAATTCGAACCTCTTAAAATACTGTTTTAAAGGGAAAGGAAAAGTTAGACATGTTGATTTGTAATTTACATTTCAGTTAATGAGATTTTCTTTTCTTTCTTTGGAGTTCTGTACCGACAGTCTGCAACTATTAAGCTAATGCTGTACCACTAGTCACATACCCAGCCCCTTCCCCACTTTTTAACTTATATTTTGAAACAGGGTCTCTAAATTGCCAAGAACTCCTTGAACTTGCTAGCCTCAGCCCTTCATCTAGTTGGGATTACAGATGTGTGCCATTGTGCCTAGCACTTGGAGGATTTTTGTGTTCTTTTGTATTGAGACAAGGTCTTACTGTGTAGTTCAGGCTGACATGAACCCATGATCTTCCTCCCTCAATTTGCTGAGTGCTGGAATTATATGAGTTTTAATGCATAGTGTCATGTGACCACTATTAAGATACAGAACAATTCCATCACCTCAGAAAGTTCTCTCATGCTCCTCTATAGCCATTCTTTCCTCTCATCCTAGCTTCTAGAAACCACTAATCTAGTTTCTGTTCCTGCAGTTTTGCCATTTCTAGAAGGTCATATAAATCAAATAATGTTATACAAAATGGGATAAATCATATAATTGGTAGCTGGAGTTCAGTATCTTCACTTTGCTCACATACAGCATTTGAGATACACCATGTTAATGCTGTAAGTAATTTTACTTTCTTTTGCTGAATTGTATCTAATAGAAGGTTATAACACAGTTTGTTCATTTACTTCTTGAAGGACTTTTGAGTTGTTTCCAATTTGGAGCAATTACGAAGCAACTTTAGACATACATAAACATTATGTGAACATGTTTTTATTTCAACTAGGGACGGAATTGTTTGGTTATATGACATACGTTGCTTTTAAACATTATAAGAAATTGCCAAATTGTTTTCTGAAGTGGCTGTACCATTTTAAATTCCCATTGGCAGTGTGTGAAACTTCTGGATGTTATACATCCTTACCAACATTTGGCATTGCCAGTCTTTTATTTTACTCATTCTTATGGGTAGATAGTGGCTTCTCTTTGTGGTTTTAATATTTGCAAAAGAACAGTGATTTTGAGCATGTTATGTGCTTATTTGCCACTTGTACATCTTCCTTGCCTTTTGTACACATTATGCACTTATTTGCCATGTTTGTTCAAATGTTTGCCCATGAAAAAAATTTAAATTAAAATTTAACCTAGAAATCTAAAGTTAATGCAGTTATAAAATAATTAAGTTTTGAGAATTGATGTATTCAGGATATAAATCCTTTATCATGTGCTTTACTTGTGTTTTCAGCTTTATTGAGCTATAGTTAATGAATTACAGTTGTTTTGTTTTGTTTTTGATGGTATTGAAAATCAAACTTGACATCTTATTCTTGCTGAGCAGGCCCTTTGCCGCTGAGCTACGTCCCCAGCCCTGTAGTACATTATAAAGAATACATGTCATGGTTTGACATTTGCACGCACTGTAGATACGCACACCCATTACTTCACGCAGTAATCTTCTGTGAGACAACTTAAGTTCTCTCTCTCTCAGCCGATTTCAAGTATATAGTATTAAATATAATCACCATGCTGTACATTCTGGTCTTCATAACTTATCTTAGAACTAAAGATTTCTATTTTCTGTCTACCTGTTTCTCACAACCACTGATATTTCTATGAATTTGACCTTTTTTTTTTTAAGATTGTGTATGTGATACTACACAATATATATTTTTGGTTTATTTCACTTAGCATAATGCTAAGTCAGTCATTTATGTTGTTGAAAATGGCAAGATCTTTTTATGACTAAATAATATTCCATTGTAGTATATATGCAACCCCATTTTCTATGTCTGTTTATTAGTGAGCATAGAAACTATTTTCATTTTTGACTATTGTGAATAGCACTGCAGTGAACATGGGACTAGAGATCTCTTCAATATACTGATTTCATTTTCTTAAGGTATTTTCTGAGAAGTGGTATTAAATAATATGGTAGTTCTATTTTTAATTTTTTGAGAAACTTCTATATTTTTCATACAGGCTGTATTAATTTACTTTCCAGTCACAATAGGTTCTTTTCCTTTTATAATGTAACTGACATACTGGCTGTCTTAGTTACTTTTTACTCATTGCTGAGACAAAATACCTGAAGCCCAAGTTGGGAAAGAAAAGGTTTATTTCTTACAGTTTTTGGAGATTTCAGTCCACACTCAGTTGGCTCCAAGGCAGGCGGGCATGGCTGGGCCGCAGTTCATGACTGCTGCAAACAGCAAACAGGAACCAACAAAAAGCAAGACACACCTTCTTCCTGCCATTACATCACATCCTGGCTCCACCCCTATGTGGGTGGAGCACTGACATCATCAATCCAAGCACTAGACAATGAACCAATCACAAATGCACAATGCAAACTCATGAGGCCTGGGGGA